GCAGAGAACTTCCGTCTTACTCAGGCACTGTTGAGAACTTTTAACTTCACCTTCTGGGCCCCCAAAATGCCCAGAACCTCTCCAAGGCAATCCTACACAAACAGAAATGTCCCAGAGGAAAGGTGGACTGCAATAACAGTGACTTCAATGACTTTCAGTTGCCATCTTAAGTTTGCACGTTTACAGAAGTACATAATCTTGTGAGGACACGGTGAAGACTGCACTCGGGATCTTTGGGAGGAGCCTGTGCAGAGTGAATGCCTCTGAAGTGTAAGTTTTGAGAGGGAGGGAAAAAAAGTCACTAGTTAATGTTGCCCGCTAAGGTCGATGTTATGTAAACTGAGTCATCACCCCATATTCAGCTGGATAAGATCATTATATAACTGGTTTCTAAACCAGAACAACTTACTCTAGAAAGCTGTTTATTGATTACTAGCTATTTGCTATGCACCTCCTCAACCAAGCAGCGTGCTGAGCAAGGGTTTGGGCAGAGAGAAAGAGAACGCAGGCTCCTATTTTTGAGGCGGTCGATGGCTGCTGAGGGTCTGCATACTCTGCCCTGAGCCATACGTGAGAAGTGAACACAGATTTTCCTCTAGAGGATGTGGCAGGGAAAGGCAGGGAAAATGATGAGAGAAGGAAAGAAGAGGTGATTCCTGAGCTGAGCTGAGCTGAAAGGTGAGGGGAGCTTAGGGGCAGGTAAGGGTGGGTGCGCCTTTCCAACCTTTTCTCTAGACTGACTGTTACAGATTAAGAACTCGTGGTCAGCTTAACGCCAACTGGATTACATCAGCATGGTGCTGAGCGTAGATGCTCCACCTGAGGACAGTTGGCAGCATAGAGACGTGGAGGAGCAGGAAGGCCTTAATGCATTGAGGCATGGAGGTATTGCGGGTCCTCCTACGTGTTGCTGTTTGAGCCATTTGGTTCTTCTGGTTCCTCACATTGAGCATTGCTTCCTGGCTCTGGAGGGGAAGACATATGCTGCTTGGTCTCCAGGATGAACTCATCACACTGGCTTCTTGGCATGTACTCAGCTGTGCTTATTGTCGGAGGAGCTCAGGGCCGCTGAGGATAGCTGTGGTGCTTTTCAGGACAGCCCTGGTCCTTGTTTTGAATGTGACTTCTCTGCTGTAGTGTAGAACCCTCAACCTACCAGCACAGCTCCTTCACCCTGCTGGCATGGACTTTCTGGTTTCCACTGCTGATCTTTGGGCCTTCCCAGCACAGATCTGTAAAAGACACTGATGTGAGTCCTTGTAGGCTCTGGACCTCCCAGTTGGACTCGTAGGAGGTATTGTCATGAGCTTTGGGTTTTCACTGGGACTCATGAGGGACATTGCTGTGGGATTTAGGCCCTTGACTAAATATTCTATGTCTTTGGTGTTGTGGACAGATTTCCTGCAGTTTCTTGTGTTAACTCTGGGTGACCATCATAAAACAATATTATAACTCCATGTCCTGATTCTAATTGTTCTGTGCACAATCCCTGACTACCACAACACTGACATAGCTCACTTCTCACAATTTCCTGAAGTGTACATGTGAATGGAATTTATCAGTTGGGCAAGTAGCCTCCAGTGGGCAGAATGAAGATGGAGAGAATGCTCACTATAGCCCTCACTGCAGCCCAGGAAGCTGATGGCTTTTCCTTGGGGAGTGGCACCAGTCTAGCGGCCCATGAGCACTCTCCTGGCAGAGGCATCTGGTTATATACATACATATGGGCTTTACACCTACTTATTCACCAGCCCATAACATTGATCACCCATGGAACCCTAAACCATGTACTTATGCATTTTACTGATAAGTTATGGAGCTACAGAAGTAGTATAGTATTTACTTCAATGCGTATATCAGATAATTGCAATTAAAGATATATCAAAAAATAAGTAGAAGAAAAATTTGGTATTTCCCTCTTCCACCCATAGGGAACATCTTACATATGGTATACATTATTACATCATTTTGAAGACACCTCAAAACTAAGCTTGAAAGAAACATGTGATGGTAGTTAAATACATCCACACAGGAGTCACCAGGGCTGCATCTGCTACATCCTAGGTGCCTGACAACCTCTCAGTGACTTCCATGTCTTTTTCTTTATAGTAAGAACATGTTCCTTGTAGGATTCTTCAGAATAGCCAAGATGTGGAAGTAATCCAAATATTCATCATGGAGAAATGAATAAACAAATTATGGTTTATATAAACAATGAAATATTATTCAGCCTAAAGAAAAAGGAAATCCTGTCACACGCCATAATATAGATGAACCTAGAGGACATTACGTTAAGTGGGAAAAGGCAGCCACAGAAAGACAAAAACTATATAATCTCACTGATACATGGTATGTAAAATACTCAAACACATAGCAACAGAAAGTAGGATGGAGTTGCCAGGGGCTGAGAGGAGGTGGAGCAAAGAAGCTGTGGGTTGTGAACAACTTTTACAAAATGAGAAGCTTCTGGAGATCTGCCTTACAGCAGTGTCACTATGTTACATGCTGCTGATCTGCTGAACACTGAAAATAGTTATGATGTGCAATTTTATATTTCGTGTTTTTACCATAAGTAAAGACAAAAATTTAAAGAGGAGTAACATTATGCATCTTATAGAAATCTTGCAAAAAATAATATGAAGCATTGAAATTGGCACCTGGCACATGGTAAACACTTGATAAAATGTTGATATTGTTTTCCTCAGTGCCACTATTTAAAGCAGTGTCTTTCTTTATGTGTATAGAGTTTTCGCTTGGTTTTTGTAAACTGCCCTAAAAAACAACCCACATAAGAAAAGGAAAAGATATTTCTTGAAGCAGATAATTTTCTATTTGAATCTGAATTTTCAAAAATACCTAAGAGTTTCCAGGGGAAAGGTGAAGGCAGGTAAATCAGCTTGGCCTCTTCTCGGATCAACTGAATTACTAATAGATTCTGTTCTTTGCTCTACAGTCTCCTTTCTGCCTGTCCTGTGAATGCCTCTCCAGAGCCTCTGTCTTGTACCCAGGGCTTCTTTTCACCTGCTGTGTACAGAACGACCACTCAGAGGTAGTCTCTCACTCTTCCTCATGTGTCCTCCATTCCTGGGACCCAGAGGAACTGTTAACCCATTTCCTGGCCTCCCCAGTACCCAAGGGTCACCCATTCTGTCCCACAGAGATGAGTAGAAGTTCATGGGGACAGACATTCATTTCTTTCTGCTCTATCTCAATCAGTCAGAGCACCCAGAAATTCAGCGGTCATCTTGAAGCCACAGAATTAACACCAAGGCTGAGAATGAGCCTGGTAACTGAAGATTTTGCTGCATAGCTACACAACCCTGGACCCTTTTATGTTACCTCTTTCCCCACTGTTTAGTGCCACTTTCTATTGCTTGTTGCCAAACATACTAAGAAACGCAAATTATCCATGTCAGCATTGGATGTCTGATGGCACAAATGAAGAAAGGCCTGTAAGGAAGGACAAGACCCCTAAGAAATCCTGAACTTCAAACCATGTGAAACGCACACTTTTCTGAGATACCAACTGCCTTGGTCCTGACTTTTGCTGCCATCTAGTGGTAATGTTTTGGAACTAAAATATTGATTTTCCTTCTGTCTTTCTCCTTTCCTTTCTGAGTTGGTTCTCTGTGGTATTCTTGTATATAGCCAATCCAATAAAATTTAGAACCTGTTTCCCATATGAAATCTGACAGTTCACAAGGAAGAAAAGCCTTGCACCATGTATAGGCTCTTTTGTTGAGAAGGTCTGTGAGTGCAACTGGGGTCTTCTATATGTTTGTTATCTCATCAAAAGGAAATTGTTAGCAGAAACATATCTCCAGTTCGACCTTCTCTGACTAGGGTGTTAATGTGGAATGAAATAATTTTGGCCTTTTTTGTAGAGAGAATGTGTGACAAAGTTTGTCCACTCTCCACCTCTTTATCTGTCCACTTAATTTCCTCAAACTTCTTTTATTCTAAGTGTCTCCTCTGAGTTTGAGCCCATGGGTTACTTACCAGTGGGTTTATTATTGTCTTTGCTGGTTAATTTTTCTTTGTTGTGATGTTAAAGAAGTCAAGTTAAAGGGAAAATGATGTAAAGTATTTGAATGATGAAAGAGCAAGGTGGTCACCTGTAACTGTTCCTGCTTCATAAATCTACAAAACACACACACACACACACACACACACACACACACAAGTTTTTTGTGGTGCTGGATCTTGAGCTCAGGATCTCATGCATCCTAGGCAAGTACTCTTATCACTGAGCTACATTCTCAGTTTCTGAAATCTGCTATCTCTCAAACTATATATGCCAGTAATTTATCTCATATTAAAAGCAAGATGTAGTCTGGGTCAAAATCTGTAATACATTATTTTAATAATTTTTAACTGCCGGATCAAATTTACTTTGGAACAGAAGGAAACAAGTGAAAGAATATTTTGCATGATATGACTTCTCCCATTCCCTGCTACTAATAATAAACCAAAGGGAGTTTCCACTTGATTGGGACCCAGAAAATTTCCTAACTGTAGCATCAATTTTCTGAAAAAAAAAATAACTTTCGGTCATTACATACAATTTAGAGAATTAGAGAAAATATATAAAAGAAAACTGTTCACCGTAATTGCACCATTGAATCATTTACATTTTATGGCATGCCCTTTTAACCTTGTGTTAATACACAAATAACATACCACTATCTAAGGCATATTGTATATTTTACTATTTAACTCGCACTTCAAGACAATGAAGTGATAATAATCTTTGCAAGAAACGAAACATGGAACAACTGTTAGTGTTACTTGAGCACAACAGCACTAAACAGAGTCGATGAGGGTTCTGGAAGCTACGACAAATCTGACGTCTTGCAGACCATAAAATTCCTTGTTTTTATTAATTTCAAGCTGAGGGAGCGGTCTACCGACCGTAACGTAGAATGCAGACGGCCCGTCACTACTGCAAAGGGAAAGCGGGCCGCTTACAGTTTACTTCCGGCCTGATCCTTTGACGTCACTTCCGGACTCCGGGCCGTCGCGAGGACTTGTTCTTTGAGGTTCAGAATCGACACCGGGAAGTGTAACGGACCCGGGAGCCTCTGCGAGGAAATCTGAACTAATGTGAGCGCCAGCGAAATGCGGACGGAAGGTGGGATGTCCACAGGTGTTGTCGCAGTTGTGACCGAGCCTCAGTTTGCCCAGCGATACCGGGAGTATCTCCAGAAGATGAAGCTCCTGGACCGAGAGCACCGCGCGGAAAAGATGCCGGACGGCGCCGTGGCGCTGCCGGTGCTGGGGGAGACACTCCGCGAGCAGCACCTGCTGGCGCTGAGGAGCTGCGTGGCCCCGGGCAGCACCTGTCTGCTGACGCACTTGCCGGATCCTGTGCCTTCAAAGAAGGCCCAAGTTTGTCCACCTGCCCAAAGACTGTGTCGCGAGGTGAGGCGCTGGGTAGAGGGTCAGGGAGTAACGTGGTCCGCTGAACTGGAGGCTGATTTGCCCCGATCTTGGCAACGGCATGGTAACCTCTTGTTGCTGAGTGAAGACTGTTTCCAAGCTAAGCAGTGGAAAAATCTAGAACCAGAACTCTGGAAAACCATTGCCTCTGCACTTGGCGTCCAGCGTTTGGCAAAACGAGGGAAGGTGTTACCCGATGGTCCTCGGACTCCAGCAGTGACTCTGCTGCTGGGCGATAATAGCTGGGTAGAGCATGTGGATAATGGCATCCGATATAAATTTGACGTGACGCGGTGTATGTTCTCCTTCGGAAACATCAGTGAGAAGCTGCGAGTGGCATCAATGTCCTGTGCCGGAGAAGTAGTGGTGGATCTATATTCAGGAATTGGTTATTTTACGTTACCCTTCCTAGTTCATGCTGGTGCTGCTTTCGTCCATGCCTGTGAGTGGAACCCCCATGCTGTAGTTGCCCTGAGAAAAAACCTGGAGATCAATGGAGTGTCAGATCGGTGCCAAATACACTTTGGGGATAATAGGACATTGAAACTCTCAAACATTGCAGATAGGGTGAACTTGGGGCTCATTCCCAGCTCTGAAGAAGGTTGGCCCATTGCCTGCCAAGTCCTACGACAGGATGCTGGGGGCATTTTGCATATCCATCAAAACGTGGACTCTTTCCCAGGAAAGAATCTCCAGCCTCACGGAAGCAGCAGAACGGAAAATTCTTACCCTCAGAAAATTACCACTAACAAAGGGGAAAATGGAGCTACCAGGGATTTTAGGGGAAAAGTGCCTTCATCAGCCACTAAGCTGGAGTGGCAAAGGTGGGCTGAATCTGCAGAAACTCAGATTGCCACTCTACTCCAGCAGGTGCATGGAAAACCATGGAAGACACAAATCTTGCATATCCAACTAGTGAAATCTTATGCCCCCCATGTGGATCACATAGTCTTGGATCTGGAATGCCGTCCTTGTCCTCTAATTGGCTAGAGGAAGTGGATCCAGTGACACAAGGTATCCACAGGAGTGGCCCTTAATGCTTCTGCTCAAGCTGAGTTCTCATCCTTTTTATCTCCTAGTAATCTTTTAAATATTTTATGGCATTGGTAGTATGCTATACCAGGTGTGTCCACCCTGCAGCCTGTAGGCTGGACATGCTCATAGCAAAAAATATTTAAAAAGGAACTTTGCTACTTACATACATTAACTATATTTTATTTTCAGCCTAAGGCACTTCCTCTTAATGTGACCCAGGTAAATAAAGTGTATCCATCCCATGGTCTACAGACTGGGCACTCCTGTGAGACCAAATGATTTCATTTGTCTTCTATTGCTCTCAGAACATGTCAAGTTATCTGGGTAAAATGACACTCATCTGTGCGATTATGAATTTTGAATTCTGACCTCAGTTAAGACCTGACGTATGTGGTTCCATATTCATTTGGTCTTGGTTTTTCTTATTTACAAAATAAATGTTTCTTTAAACTGTTTGACATGGCTGTTATCTTAAGTAAGCAGTTGTGCAGTCACTGGGTATTTTACATTACCCTTCCTAGTTCATGCTGGTGCTGCCTTCATCCCTTGCCTGTGAGTGGAACCCCCATGCTATACTGTTCTAAACATTACTGTTCAAGCTACAGTATGAGAAATTGGCTGGAGGAAAGCCAAGCTAGAAACTGGGAGACCAGTGAAGCAGCTCCTGTAATTGTTCAACATGAGGTAATGGTAGCATGAACTAAGGTGGTGGCAATGGGAGATGGGTTGATTTGAAAAATAAAGTCAATAGATCAAGCAGTGGAATCCAAATCAAAGTATAAACATGATGCTGATGAGGAAGTGCAGAGGGCGACAATTAGTGTAACTCCTTGACTTAAGCATTTCTAACTGAATATGGGGGAAATGTCTTACTAGTCAGGTATATTATGATAGAAAACATTAAGAACCATTGCCCTAAATTACAGAATATCTGAATTTCAAGTCATAAGCTCATGCCATAATTGCCAATTGCTAGCAATTTTTAAAATTCTGATTAAAATCTTTGCTCTTATAAGACACAAACTTCCTTCTCTGGTCAGTATTTTCAGGGGCACCATAAGATGCAATAGGAAATTGCAACATATTCTGTACTTTTTAAAACTTCACCTTATTTTATGGCTGTGTGCCGTCACCATGGTTTGCCGTTTGGGTGACTAATAGTTGAGAATCACTTGTAGCTTTACTTTGGTGCATTCTGAAGCCATCTGTACTTGTTTTCTTAGTGAAGGAAATGTAAAAAAGTGTAGCTTTGTGTAGATTATACTTATACTTGACATTTTACAGTAATGCAGGATTATTAATCTTTTTAAACACTGGCTGTAAGGATAAGTTGGACACTATATTATGGGGCAAATACTGTCTTTTATATTTAAGAGCCAGAGGAAATACAAAAATCTGGTAGATAAAGCTCCTTTCTTGTCTTACTTGAATGTAAGTATTTAGTGACTTTAGTGAATGTAATAAGCTAAGTGCTATATAGGTGACAGCATGTTGTAGCAGTGCAAAAGTGGGAGAGTTCTGAAAATTAAATGGGGAAGTCTACATAGAAGTACTATTTAAATTGGCTCTTGAAAACTGGCTCAGATTTGAGTGGGTAGAGTAGAAGTAGAAACAAGAGCTAAAGTTTACTCAGAAAGTGAGCCATTGTCATTAGCTAGTTGGGACAGAGGAATCAGTAATACATATATTAAAGATGGGGATTGTGACAGTTAAAAAGCTTCCTGTGGCTTGCACACAGGAAGCTCCTGGGGAATGTTGGCTACCCTGTGATCTCACCACAGAAACCAGACGTTCATTTTCATCCTAGAGTTGCCTTCCTGTGTTTACCTTAATCTTTTACACATCCTGAGCTCCTTTTCACTTGTGTGCCTATGGCTTACTCTACTCAAGTTGGTAAAGATGCCAAAGTAAGGCCTGAACCAACATGGCGAAGATAAAACAGCGACTGGGACTAAGGAGTTCGTTTTGGCCATAACTGATGTACAGGCAGCCAGTGTCAAGTGCAGCTTGTGAAATTCATTTGACTTTCTAAGACAGATAGAAAGACAGACACAGAGAATGTAGATATATTCCTGATATTGAGCAGTTGGTAGATCAGGCCCCAAGGGTTCATCAGTAAAAGACAAGATTGACTCAATGAAGCTCTACCTTCATTGAATGTAGGCAACACTCTTAATTCTGAAATTCCTCTATTTCTCTGTAACCTGAGACAAAGAGTAACTCTCCCAAGATTTAGTTTCCTTATCTTATATGTTGAGTGAACAACTGTACATATATGTAGGGTAGTTGTATTTGTCACCTGTCTATTGTTGGGACAAAATACCTGACATACACAACTTTAAGAAGGAAAAGTTTGTTTTGGCTCTTGGTACCAGAGGTTTCAGTCCGTGGTCAGCCAGCTCCATTTCTTTAAGTGTGTAGCAAGGCAGAAACAGGACAGGAGGACATGGCAGAGGAAAGCTACTCATTTCATGGCAGGCAGGAAACAGAACTAAGAGAATGATCCCAAGAAGAGGTAATACCCTTCAAAAGCACACCCCAATCTTCTAATTAGGCTCCACCTTCTGACAGACCAAGCCTTCAACATATGCATCTTTGGGGGACATTTCATATTTAAATCAAAGTAGTAGTTGTTAAGATATATAAATAAGTCAATGTGTTAAGCAGTTATTGGCATATAGTGAACACTTCGTTCATTAATTGTCTGTCTTTGTATACAGTAAACCACCATTCCCCAGTTTGGTTGTAAGGCATGTACCTCTGGTTTCCTTGACGCAGAGTGACAGTCAAAGATCATCTGCACTCCTGTGTTCACTGCAGAACTCTGCACAGTGGTCAAGAAGTGAAAAAGTCCAAGTGTCCATCAGCCAATGCGTGGGTAATGAAAATGAGGTTCATTTACACAATGAACCAACCGGTTCATAAAAAGAACAAAATCTTAACATTTCTAGCAACATAGATGGGACTGGAGATCATTATAAATGAAATAAGCCAAGCACAGAAAGACAAGTACCACGTCTCATTTATATATGGAATCTCACAAAGCTGATTTTACAGAAGTTGAGAGTGGAATAGTGATTGCCTAAAGCTAGGAAGAGCTGGGAGAGGGAGAAGTTCGGGAAAGGTTAATGAATGGCTGCTAAAATTACAGTTAGATAGGAAAAATAAGTCCTAGCATGCTGCTGCACAGCAGATAACCAAGATGGCAATACTGGGCTCTATATTTAAAAATGGAAGATGCTGAATGATAGAGGTGTTTAATCTGATTTAAACATTACACAATGTGTCATATGGATGTGCAATGTTTATGTGTTAGTTTTTAAAAAGAGAAAACCTGGAAGAGCAGGAGCTGAAACTTAATTTTTGGGATAAGCCAGGTAAAGGTAGAGGAAGTGAGACCTTAGCCTCCTCTCTCCAAAACAAGCTGTTCCCGTCTGCCTGGAACATTTTTTTGCCTCTTACTTTACAGTTATCATTGTGTCCTTCTCCCAGCCCATTCTCCACACTCACCAAGCTATTCCCCTTTCACTGGGGCAGAGGAAGTTCATTCACTGGAAGGTACTGAGGTTGACCCACTGTACTGTTTCCAATCTCCCTTTTTCTTCTGATTTTTTTTTTTTTAATCGGTACTGCAGATCAAACTCATGACCGCCTGCTTGCAAGGCAGGTGCTTATGCCACTAAGCTAAATCCCCAGCCCTAATCTCCCTTTTTCTTAAAAATAGGAAAACTAGAAAGCAAAAATATGAAATTTCCTCCTAGCGCCCCCCCCCCCAGCTGTAGTGGTCATATGAACCAGTCCTGGCAAGATGTAGGCAGAGGTCCCCAGGAGGACTTGTCTTAACCCTGGAGATGTAGCCAGAATAGGATTGTAGCACTAGGATTTCTTCTCCGTGTGTGTTGGGCTGGAGGACACTGGGATTGAACCTAAAGTCATGTGAGCACTGAACTCCTATGCATCCAGCCCTTTTCTTGGGACAGGTCTCACTAAGTTGCCCAGGCTGGCCTCAGACATGTGAACTTTCTGCCTCTACCTCCCAGTAGCTGGGATTTGCAGATATGTGCCCCCTAGCTAGAGGACTCTCGACTTCTTAAGGATAGTTTTGATCAATATACAAGCCATAAAGTCTCTGAACTTGTCATTTAAAAAAAAAAAACCTGCACACACACATACACACATGCCTATTTAAGTCACTGGGATTTTTTTTTAAAAAATCTTAAATACAAGAAATATTTTTGATATTCTGAATAGTGGATTAATCAGATTAATCAAATATATTTATAGCACAAACAAAAAGCAGCCCTAGAATGCTTATACCCCAAACAGGGCATTTTAAATTAATGTTCCTTTTCAAACATTTCAACTGCTAATGCTGCCATTTAGTGGAGATGCTGTGGAAATAAAAATTCAACTTTGAACTATTTTTGTGATTCCAGGATCTACCTCTATTTACTTCCCTTCTTTTTACCCCTTCATAAATGTTTTGGACCCCTGACAGTGTGCCTGCCACTGTGATAACCACTGGGACTAAAACAGTGAATAAACTAGACCTGGTCCCAGACCTTCCATGATAATGGAGGACCTATATTAAACAATATCATGCACATAAAACATCTCACATTTTAGTAAATGGTGGGAGGAGAAGTTTTTGGTGCTGTATGAGGCTATGAGGGCTCACTTGGTCAGGAAGGTCAGAAAGGCTTCCCCTAAACATAATTGAACTGTGAGCTCGAGTAGAAATGAGTGACAAAAACAAGCCAGCGGCCCACAGTGAGGGCAGCGTGTACCGGTAGCCTGGGGAGGAATCCCAAAGGCCTTGGTGAGTGGAAAGGGGAAGATGAGGGTTAAATCAGGTGAGAGTTGAGTGGCAGTCACACCATGCAAAGGACAGTGGAGACCATACCAAGAACCTTACTCCAACAGCACTGGGACTTCACTAGAGTCTGAAGCAAAAATGTGACACGGTTAAGTGATTTTTGTGTTCACAATTTATCAGAAGCCTAATGTTCTAAAATGCTTTAAAAATTACTCTCCACACACACTTGATTTTCCTAAATAGGCCTTTCCATACTCTAACCTCCCTCATTTCCAACATGCATGATAACAGAATATGAGACATTGCCCTTGTACACAGTGGTGAAGCACTGCTGTGTTCGTAATTGGGGCAGGGATGCTGGCTGCAGTGGGTTGGCTCAGCTGGGATGTATTCCGTTTTTTGGAAAAGTTTGTGTAAAACTTAGTTCCGCAGTGAAGTGCTGTCTCTAGATCTCTTAATAGTCTACCTTGTGAAATTGAGTTACTTTAGGATTTTGGTTGGGTCTCTCCTGATTCCCTTCTCCATGTCACAGCCTGGTAGCTTTTCCAGAAAGTTGGAATAATTGTATGACTCACCTTGGTTGCTTCTCATCCCACATGGATTTCCATCCTATCTCCAATATCCTGACAGCCATTTTTT